CATTCAAGAGTAAGTTTCAGAGTGTCTCTGACATCCATCTTGGTCTTTTCTTTTTTCCTTTCCTGACTTTCTAGTGACCATTTGCTTTCTTCATCTATGATGTCCTTATGTCATCCCACAGTTCTTCTTGTCTTTGGTCATTAATGTTCAATGTATCAAATTTATTCTTGAGATAGTCTCTAAATTCAAGTATACCATACACTTGTGGTAGTTAAGGTTGTGTGTCAACTTGGCTGGGCCATGGTTTTGAAGGGCTTGACAGCTGGATGTAGTTATTCCCCATGATGAGACAGGATGTGGTGTAATCAACTCCATGGTGTAACCTGCTGTGAGCAGCTAATCAGTTGTCTTCAGAGTATGGCCTGCTTCCAGTATATATGGAGAAGCCTTAAGAAAGGTCTCTAGCTTTTTGACACATCTGGATTCTGCACGTGGCCAAGTCTTCATCTCCAGTTTCTGGACTTAAACCAGTGGCCTGTCATGTAGCCTACCAATCTTGGGGTTGTGCTGTTTTTGCCTGCTGACCTTGAGTTCTTCAGCCTCAGCAGCCTGAGGTAGGAGACACCTCCAGCTCCAGTGGGCCTGGAACAAGAAGCAGAGATGAAGCCCAAGGTCAAGGAGTCTTCACCCAGTCCTGAGAGCTGACATTCTGAATTTGGACTTCTAGCCTCCTAAACTAACCAAAATTCAAACCAAACTCACTGCCTTCGAGTCAATTCCAACTCGTAGCAACACCCATTGGGTTTCCAAGGTGGTAAATCTTTATAGACATAAAGTGCCCCATTTTCCTTCTGTGGAGAAGCTGGTGAGTTTCATCCGCCAAACTTATGGTTAACAGTCAAATGCCTTAGGTACTGCACCACCTGAGCTCCTATAAGAGAATAAATTCCTGTTTGTTAAAACCATACATTTGTGGTATTTCTATTATAGCAGCACTAGAGAACCAAGACAATACTAAAGGTTGTACTTTGGCACTTGTGGACTTATTTTAATTTTCTTCGGCTTCATTTTGAAGTTGTATATGAGTCTGGTCTGCAGTCAGTGCCTGACCTTATTCTGACTGATATTATTGAACTTCCTCAACATCTCTTTCCACAGATGTAGTCAATTTAATTCCCGTATATTCTATCCAGTGAGGTTCACTTGTATTTCAAAAAAACTAAAACCCATTCCCATTGAGTCATAGTGACACTGTAGGGCAAAGTAGAACTGCCCCCATAGGGTTTCCAAGGCTGTAAATCTTTACAGAAGCAGACTACCTCATCTTTCTCCCACAGAGTAGCTGGTGGGTTCAAACCGCCAGCCTTTTGGTTAGCAGCTGAATGCTTTAACCACTGCACTACCAGGGCTCCATTCCACATGTATAGTTGCTATTTGTGTTGTTGGAAAAAGGTATTTGCAATGACTAAGTTGTTGGTCTTGCAAAATTCTATCATGTGACCTCCGGCATCTTTTCTACCACCATGACCATATCTTCCAACTGCTAATCCTTCTCCTTTATTTCCAACTTTTGCATTCCATCACCAATAATTATCAATGCAGCTTGCTTGCATGTTCCATCAATTTCAGACTACAGAAGTTGGTGAAAACCTTTGATTTCTTCATCTTTGGCATTAGTGGTTGGTGCCTAAATTTGAATGACAGTCATGTTAACTGGTCTTCCTTGTAAGTGTATGGATATTATCTTATCATTGACAGGATTGTACTTCAGGATATATCTTGAAATATTCTTTTTGATGAATGTGATTTCATTCCTCTTCAATTTGTCATTCCAGGCATAGCAGAACATATGATTGCCGGATTCAAAATGGCCAATACCAGGCCATTTCAGCTCACTAATGCTTAGAATATCAATCTTTACGTGTTCCGTTTCATTTTTGATGACGTCAAATTTTACTAGATTCATAGTTCATACATTCCACATTCCAATTATTAATGGATCTTTGCAACTGTTTCTTATCATTTTGAGTCTTGCCACATCAGCAAACGAAAGTAGCATAGTGCCCAAGGCACTTGACTGCTAACAAGAAGGCTGGTGGTTCAAACCCACCGGCCACTCCTCAAAAGGAAGTTTGGGCAATCTACTTCTGTAGTGATACTGCCTCGGCAACCCAAGGAGGGGTCACTATGAGTCGGGTCCGACTCGACGGCACATAACAACAACAACAAATCTTTATCCCATCCACATCATTAAGGTCTACTCTACTTTGAGGAGGAAGCTCTTCCTAAGCTGTATTTTGTGTGCATTCCAACCTGAGGGGCTCATCTTCCAGCACTATATCAGAAAATGTTCTGCTGCTATTCATAAAATTTTCACTAGCCAATTTTTTAAACAGTAGATCTCTAAGGTCTTCTTCCTAGTGTATCTTAGTCTGGAAGCTCCACTGAAACCTGTCTACCATGGGTGACCCTGCTGATATTTAAAATACCAGTGGCATAGCTTCCAGCATCACAACAACAGGCAAACCACTACACTACAATAAACTAGACTTCCAGTAGAGGCCCCAGTTAAGATGAAATATGAGTTGCCAACATTTAAAAACCAAGAGATTGCACATAATAATCAGGTTCTGGCTTCTTTGAAAAATTGGGTGATCTGACAACAGAAAACCAAGGGTGCCACATGGCAACAATCAACCAGACTGACTGAGTAGCAGCTGACACCTTTAGAGATGTCATACATGCTGCTGTTTGTTGGAGACCCATCACCTTCGTTGTGTGATGCCTTATCCGTTCTACTCATTTTCATAGCTAGCCTGAGCTCATTTTTTTTTTAATGGAAAATAGTGAGTGGTTGGAGAGTTTTCTCCTGCTTACTGAAGGTTAGTACAGCTGTATCTCAATCCTCCACCACCTAGGTTGCCTGTGTAGCCCTATAATAGAATTTAAAAACTCAGAACTTTGTATATTTAAGTACTGTAATATCAAGTCATTTAGCAGTTCCTCTGAAACCCTTGTCTAAGTCTCTTTTTCCTCACTGTAGACTAAAGGAACCACAGGTGAACCAGGAAAAACTCATACGAAATCCTCGGGGGAGAAAGGGCTCCTGTCAGAACTCATCTTCATTTCTGAGAGTACCATTTTAAGAGCACCTTGACCCAAGCTATTGTGATTTTTACCTTATCCCTAAAAGATACAATGAAGCCAGTATCTCTCCTGTAGTCTCAAGGAAGACATCATGTAAGTGTTCAAATCAGATATGTCTAACCAAGAGCCTAAACGTTCAGCACAAACAAAACCAGACTTGGTACAGGGAGGCTGTGACTAAAGTCCTATACTACTGTCATCCTACCTGTGCAGGTCTGAGATTCCATGTGTGTAAGAGGTATATCTACCTCCTATCTGCCTCTGCCTCTCATACAGAACTGTACCCAGCTTTGGAAAAGAGTTCTGGGTAGCATTTGTGTTTGGCACCATCTGTCCTGGACACTCAAGATATCCCAAAAGTCAGGCTTCCAGCCCTCCAACACAGAGGAAACCCTCCATTAAGCACAATAGTTTGCACCTCCATCATTTGCACTCAGACCAGGGAAGAAGGAAATGTGTGGGCTAGAAGAGGGCCACATCTGCTCACTTCTGGGCTTACAGGCCTGAGCCTAAGACACCTAAACAATGATTCTCCTGATTGTACACAGTCTTACGCAACCCACCCAAAAGATACACCTACACTGGTGAGACATAAAGGCCATGCCCATATGTTATATGACTGTGACAGATATTTATCAGTTACCTTCTCAGTATCCATGTCCCTCTTACCACTCCCTATTGTTATTAGCTGCCATAGAGTCATGGGACCACATGTATGCACACTGGGATCATACCGTTATGATCCCTAGGATTTTCTTTGGCTGCTTTTCAGAAGTAGATCACCAGGCCTTTCTTCTTTGTCCACCTTAGTCTAGAAGCTTCACTGAAACCTTTTCGAAATCAAAGCAATACACTCCAGCCTCTACTGACAAATGGGTGGTGGCTGCACATGAGGGGCATCGGCCAAGAATCAAACTCTGTTCTCCTGCATGGAAGGCGAGAATTCTACCACTGAACCACCAACGACCTCTTACCACTACCTACGAATGCAGTTTGGGTGGAATGAAGACTTCCTCCACCTCCAGGGGTAGCCAATCGGCATATCCCAAGCCCCTGGCCACAGTTCAAGGATGAACCTGGGACCCTTGTCATAAGGTGACTGAATTCTAGGACTTTTGATTGAGCAATCAGAAAAGCAGAACTTGATTTTTTCCTGCTGTGCACAAAAAGGACCTATAGGTCCAGGAATTTTGATGTTATCTTGGAACCACAGTAGGAGTGTAGAGTGTAGCCAAGGAAGAATCACTGAGGCAAAAGGATATAAAGGAGCCTCTGTCTCTGGACTGTTTGATTATATGTATTGACATTCCCATCTGGCTTCAACCAGTTTGGCTTAAATTTTTGGTCACTGACAACAGAAAGTATTCTAATTGAGACCTTAGTGAATATGACTGCCCCTGTTAAATTTTGGTGGCTCTGGCCCTAATCACAATCTTCTTGCCAGTATTTCCAATTTCTTTTTTTTAAAACAAATCAATTTGACTACAGCCATGGTGGAATTTAGTCAACATGAAAAAAACATTTCCAATATTTGTGTATTTTTGCATAAAAGTCTATCTACTGGTTTACATTATACTTCTCCTTTTGACATCTTTTAAGAGAAAGTTGAATCTTCTGATTTTTAAGAAATGCAAATGTGAGGCAATGATATATTAACCAAAAATATTTTCTTTTGCAATAGAAAATGGTTTTGAGGGGAAAATTAGGGATTTTTATAATTATTGAAAGATAAAACTAAAATTATTCTTTAAGGTTCAAGGCATTGGAAACATTTAGTTTCATGATATGCCATTATTAGGTATTCTCTATCTGATTGTTAGAAATTATTCATTTCCTCAAAGAGAGAATAAATTGACTGGGGATGTAACCTTGCACTATGCACTTTCTTTGCAAACGCTGAACATTTCAGAGCCATGAGAATGCTTCTGCTCTTGAGTTTGCTAGCTCTTGAAACTGGCTATGCTTGTGGCCTTGCCATAGAAAGTCCTGTGCAAAGACTGGTGGCAGAGACCTTAACACTGCTCTCAACTCATCGAACTCTGCTGATAGGCAATGGGGTAATTTTATTTCTGATTTTTAATCTCTGAAATGCGTAAGTAATCATTTGTGGTGGATCATTTACCAGGTATGAAGATCTGGTATTAATAATAATGAAGTTATGAGGGTATTAGTAATAAATAGTTAACCACATTACTAGGAAGCATTATACTAAATTTATGAATGCTAGAGTGCTTTAAAAATAATTGTATTTCCTTTTCTTATCAGACCCCAAGGATTCTTACTCCTATGCATAAAAATGTAAGTAAAATTATGATTTGATAAAATGACTGATTGCATGATTAAATAAATGATGTATGGAAAGTTGTAAAGCATTAGTTCTCATTGGAGCTATTTTATTTTCTTATTTTTTTTTTTATATATGTGGATATGAATGTATATAATTATAATATTAGGAAGGGCTTTATAACAAGTAGAAGCCATTAAACCAATGGATCAGGCTCGTTAGTGATGTTGTCAGTTCTCTGTCCTGAAGAGCTTATGTCAGGGATTCTTTCCAGAAGAATTCCACATTGGATGAGAGGTGCTTCCTACACTCTGTTCAACTCTGACTGTTGGTTGCCTTCCTTGCTCTACTGTCTTTCTGAAAGTATTAGCAATTTAGGTTTATATTTGCAGAATCATGATCAGTAGACATTGGAAGACATTAAATGTCCTGTATTAATAGCCATTTCTGCAAATTTAAATGATTATGACTATATGGGGAACTGTACACATTTGGAGTATATCATGATCATATTACAATGTAAAATATATGATTTCACTAGTCTAAAAAGAATAAAATTGCCAGCTAGAAGTACAAAAGAAAATATTGATGCGAATTCAGCCAGTAATGTAGTCCATTAAATACATTTCCTAAACATTTTATTTCTAAGAGTTCATTTTATAATTTATAAAACCACTTAGTAATTATATAAATTTCATCTCTTTTCTTAAAAATTACATTTCAGTATGAATCAGTATGAGGTAATGGTTTGTCACCTTAATATTAGTTTTGAAATGATTTATATACTTATAAAATTCATTGGAGACAGAAACTCAGGCAAATATCACCAAAGAAAGCTTAATATTTTGGAACAAATTTTTATACCTTGTTTTGATTTTTGAAAATCTTCCTCATTTAGCACCAACTATGCATCGAAGAAATCTTCCAAGGAATAGACACACTGAAGAATCAAACTGTACAAGACGATGGTGTAGAAATACTGTTTCAAAACTTGTCTTTACTCAAGGAATACATAGACCTCCAAAAAGTAAGTTGAAAACATTTAGTGAAAAATATATTTGTCTGGCTGTGCCTGTTTCTACAGGAACTGACAGTTTCCTATAACACCCATTTGCTTTTTTCACAGAAAAAGTGCGGAGGAGAAAGACGGAAAGTAAAGCAATTCTTAGACTACCTGCAAGAGTTTCTCGGTGTACTAAACACCAATTGGACAATAGAAATTTGAGACTAAACTGGCTTATTGTAGCCCCAAACTTCAGAGGAGAAGAATATTTTAGTGTAATGGGAATGAGGTCCAACCAAAGGCAGGGCCTTAATTTTTAGTAAACTCTAGTAGCAAAGTAAATATTTCAGTATATGTACAGTATTTTATGCCTTCTGCCTGTGGGATGTAGTAAAGTACATTTTATGCCTTCTGCCTGTGGGAAATACATCCCACAGGCAGAAGGCAAAAAATACTGTAGATATACTTCAGATAACAGAATTATTGAAATATTGTCCTAGTTTGCTCCAGGCAAAACAGATGTATACTTTTGTCTTATTTAATTTAACATTCTCTAAAACGTTTGTTAACTTAATATTATTTTTGAAATAAATATTTATTTTGTTATATTCTGTGTTTCAATAAAACAAAAACAGACAACTCTGGTTCAATGTGCTGCTGGCCTCTTGAACTTCTTGTTGTTGTTATTGCTAAGTGCCATCAACTCATAGTGACCCTACATACAACAGAATGAAACACCACCCGGTCATGTGCTATCCTCATAATCTTTGCTGTGTCTTGAACTTGAAGTGTGAGAACATGCAGAGTTTGGAAGGAGGGTTGCATGCATGTTGATTGAGCATTCCTATCTCCCTGGTGGCAGAAGTTGCAGTGTTGCTAGGGATGCCAAGGGTGGAAGTGATCCAGCAAGAGGAGGGCAGTGCTGAAAATCTGTGATTAGGTCTCTTCCCAGACTATGAGAAGAATTTGGCAGACCAATCTCATTGCCAGTTGGAGGAGATGGTCAGAGACCTTCATGGTAGAGGCTCAGGGCACTGGGCCTGGGGGAATTTCCCTCCTCCCACCTGACATTGTGGCATAACAAAGGTGATAGAGAAGCATCAGAAAGGTAGTGATATCCAGAAGGCTGGGTTCTAGAGGGGTCTGCCAGTCTGTATTCTGGCAGAACAGAGCCAGGTAGAATAATATTCCAATCTGCCTGCTTATGACTATCAGTAGCTGTGGTCGGTAAGGTTACGTGTCAACTTGGCTGGGCCTGGTTTTGAGTGGCTGGGTAGCTGGATGTAGTTACTCCCCATCTTGAGACTGGTAATGAACTCCATGGTGGAATCTACTGCGAATAGCTGAGTAGCTGCCTTAGGGATGCAGTCTGCTTCCAGTATATAAGAAGAAGTTTTGAGAAAGGTCTCTGAGCTTTTTGGCATGCTTGGACCCTGCATTGGCCGAGTCTTCATCGCAGCGGCCTGCCATGCTGTCTGCCAATTTGGGACTATTCCTGGACTTGAACTAGTAGCCTGCTGTGTTGTTTGATAATCTTGGGACTGTGCTGTTTAACTTGTTGACCTTGGGTTTATCAGCCTCAGCAGCCAGCAGCTGCCTGATTTAAGAGAAGCCTCTAGCTCCAGTGGACCAGGAGCAAGAGGCAGAACTGAAGCCCAAGGTCGAAGGGCCTTCACCCAGCCCCTGGGTGAAGCTGGCACATTTAACTTGGACTTCTAGCCTCCTAAACTGTGAGAGAATAAACCCTTGTTTGTTCATACCACCCATTTGTGGTATTTTTGTTAGAGCAGCATTAGAGAACAAAAAACAGTAGCAAAATTGGAAATTCCTCTGCTTGAGAAATGTTCTCAAGGAGTCAGAAAATATGGCTTTTAAATATACTTTAAGACCAAGACAGACCTGTAGGGGAGGCACAGTAACAATATTCAGCCATGCCATTGATTCCTTCATTGAACAATTATTTGTGGATTACCTGGCCTGTTGCAGACCCTACGCTGGGTGCTGCAATACAGTTGTGGACCTGTACTGGAGGGGCTTACAGACCAATGCCATTACTCTCTGAATTATTTGCATAGATTGCATGTTTCGACTGCTTGTGTGGAACAATTGCTTCTGCTGTTTCTGGGCATGGAAGAGGGGCCAGAACAGTCAGACACAGGTGTGTAAGTGGAAGAATGCAATTCCTTCAGTATAAGAAGATGAATTTTCCTTCCAGCACATACCCAGACATGGTGCAGGACTTTGCCATGACACAGGCCCCCAGCTTGTACATACAAACAAACTCCCAGTGTACTGGAGCAGAGCCAGTGAGGGAGGAAGATGAATCCATACTGCACCATGCTGACTGCTGTAGAAACTGACAGGAAACAGGAAACTCAAGTTGCAAAGAGATTCAGTGTTAGTTTAATTCAATCAGCAAGTATCTGTTGATATGTTTGAAGATTATTCTAGGGAACTGGGATCCATCAGTGAATAAAACAGATAAAATTCCTTGTCCTTGTAAAGCTTATATTCTTTCTCAAAAAAAAAAAAAAAAAAGCTATTTTCCACTTTTTTAAAATTCAGGGTCCAATTTAGTTCATGTGGATTTGAGACTGAAATATCTTACTTAAAGCCGTACTAATGAACCCTTGCCAATCTACAGATCTCAGAGAGACTAAGAGAGATCAGGACCATATGCAACCAACTAAAATTTGTGTGTGTGGTAAATATCTATACAACAAAACATTTAGCATATCAACATCCATCACATATACAATTATATACAAGTGACATTGATTATGTTCATCATATTGTTCAATTATCACCCTTGCCTGTTTCCAAAATTTTCCATTGTACTAGGCTTTTAATGGTGGATACCATGATTCTCCAGCTGGCTCTCCTTTCCCTCTAAAGTCATTCTGAGGGGCCCTGGCCAAAAGGAATGGCATTTCCTAAAGTCACATCAACTGTGCCTCCCCTCAGCCTGATTCTGGGGAGTTCCAGAATCCAGGGAATTAAGGGAGAGGGATTTGGCAGGCTCCAGGTTATGAGGAACACTTGTGTGAGTCTTGCTTTTCCTTTCAAAATCTTATCCCAGCAATAGAGTCTAATTTCACTTTATTTAGTGATACCACTGCAATTGCATGGTGGAAGGAGCCAGTGTGAGCTATTAGGTTATTTTTTTAGAGGGACACAGAGGAAGCTTTCAAGAGAACACCTCAAACACAATTCATCCAAAACCAAAGTCACTCTCCTTATCAACTACCCTTTTTCCCTAAAACCTGCTGCTTGTGCTGATACTGCACTTTCCCATTGTTCCTCTCTTCCTTCTCTCTCTTCCTTGGAGCTTCCCCATTTGGGCTAAGTCCCCACAAGCACCTCCCCACCCCTTTCGGGACACCTCCTTCACTTTTACACATTGTGCCCTTCCACCACCATCCAGCCCCTGAAAGCTCTCATAGATCTGCCCTTTCCATCTACACTGTCTTAGTCAGGCCCTTGCCTCCCATCTAGACTCAGCCAACACCAGGTACCTATTTCAGCCTCTCTCCATGCCTGTAGAGTCAGAGTTGTTGATAAAATATACATATACCACATGTCGATTCTAGGGGTAAAAGGCCTCTGCTCACCACCATCTGAAGTCCAGGTTCCTTCAAAGGTCATGTGAGGTCTACCTCTGCCCCCTTCATATCCCTGTCTAGAGAAGAAATACAAACATCTCCCACTTAAGATTTTTTTGCAAGACAACACTAACCAGTCACTTCCTTCCTGTTATTTATAAGACAAAATTTTTAGTGCATCTCAATTGCAAGTCGACCAATTTCCCAAAACATAAAACAGTAAAATCCCTGTGTATATATAACAAACTATCATATTAGGATGTAAAATATTTAAAACATTGCTTCCTGATCACTAAACAATATGTTTTTAACAAGTAGTTGCTTTGTCTGTATAATATGCTGCATGCCCCCTTAGTTGACATTCAGAGTCTCTTCAATTGTCTTCTGCAAACTCTGGTAGGCTACCAATTGTACTAGGGATGAAGCTAAAAGTTTTCTCCATTGAGTTGTGGGGACATATATATAATTTTCTTCTTATGTAAATACTGGTGGAAAAGCATTGTTTGAGAGATACATACACTCTATGAGAAAATATTCTATGTGGAAACTTTAACTAGGGAAGTTTACTGTGCAGGGAATTCCTGTTTTAATTTTTCCCAAAAGACCCTATGAATTTTAACATGCCCATGCATTTGCCCACATTATTTTCTCTGTGTCAGTATATATGTCTTTTCCCACCCAGTGAACTTGTACTTGTACTTGGCTCTCACCTCCACCAATAACAACCAAAAAACCAAACTCACTGACATCAAGTTGATTCTGATTTATAGCAATCCCCATTGAGTTTCCATGATTGTAAATCTTTACAGGAACAGGCTGCCTCATCTTTCTTCCATGGAGTAGCTGGTGCATTTAAATCTGACTTTTCAGTTAGAAGACAAATACCTTAACTACTACACCACCAGAGCTCCTTTGGCTTCACAGTCTAGCTCAAATGCTATTCTCATTATTTTCCCAACTAGCCCAGCGGCATATTAGATGCTCCCTTATCAGTATCCTGCCTTACTCTGAACATTCCTTTCTCAGTATTCTTGCTTTTGTATTGTAGTATTTTCAGATCCATCTTATATATATCTCTGAATTTCTGTCAGTCAGAATAGTCTAGATCATACTGCAGTAACAAATCATCCCCGAATTCCAGTGGTGGAACACAACAAAAGCTTATTTCATGATTACACAGTCTAATATGTTGGGTCTGGGTGACCTTTCAGAGAGGCTGTCCTCCATATGTTGACTCAGCATTCTAGGATGCTTCCAATGTATGGGACCTCCACACCAACCACTGCTGCCATGATTGCCTCAGCAGAGACAAGAGTCATTGAGAATCACACATCAGTTCTTAAATGCTTCCACTCATATTCAGTATCGGACAGAGCAAGCCATATTGCCATGAGTACCTTCACTAGAGAGGAGAAGTTCAATTCTTCCATGTGCCCAGAAGGAGAGGAGAATCAGATATATTGAGAACCAGCACTAATATCTACCACAATGTTGTTGTTGTTATGTGCCGTGGAGTCAGACCTGACTCATAGTGACCCTTCCTTGGGTTTCTGAGGCAGTATCACTACGGAAGTAGATTGCCTAAACTTCCTTCCGAGGAGTGGCTGGTGGGTTTGAACT